CCTTCTACTTTAATTATTTAATTCAAATGTCCTCACCTAGCGGTAAATCCTTGAAGTTTCAATGGATTGAAAGTGCAGAGCTTAGGATTGTTCGCAAACACATTCACATGTTGCAACTTACATTTAAACATGCATTTTCCGTTAAGTTGTGCTTATTATATAATCATATTGACAGTTTACCTTTGATATTTATGCTACGTAAATATGATGAATTGTACGTGTAAAGTATATAATTGTTTGAATACATATCGTACATCTAATTCAGTGTAACTGTAGCGGTTAGAAATATGGTTTATATTCTGGAGGAAACATAATGGATAAGATTATTCTATTTCGAAATGAAATTTATAATTTTCATTGTGTGCGTTAATAGAGTACGAATTTATGAATATTAGAGTGCACACAATGTGCAAATATAAAGGGGATGGGAAAGCGTATTTTAATAACGCGTTACAGCATACCCCCCCCCCCCTTAATTCATGCTATGGACGATATGTAACGCCTATATGTACAGTAGAAACGTATGGCTTTCAAGTATAGTTGCTGTATTTGTGCGTGAAGGTTAGGAGCAGGAGCAGTTGTACGATCAAACGTGGGTTGGGTGATAATAACAGCTCCTGTCACAATGTAGTGTATAATAATGTTGTGATATTACAATAACAAACGTATATTGATATACGCATATATTTCAACATCCGTGTGATCCAACACAGAATACATGGATGTTGCGAACGGACAAAAGCCCCTTAGTGAGTGTGAATTGAAATTTATTTCCTATAAATTATATATTTTCCTTATATTGAAACGAATAAAATAAATAATTGAATTATCGTCTATAATTTTGATTATCGGAAAGATAAAAAAGAATTTTAATTCGACCTATGTTTATGTTTTCTGTGTATACATGTAAAGTAGATTATTATATATAGTAGATTATGTATTAGATTATTAGATTTATGAATAATTTCATAAATTTCGTTCGGATTTTTTGATAAAAATAGTTTCACCTATTTAATAATTTATTTTTAGTATTGAACACGTATTTGTATAAATATTTTTATGTAGGTGGGCAGCCTCCTGCCACTAGTACTTCAGGAATGGATAAGGGGAAGGAATGGCAGATGGAATTGCTTATGGAAAAATTACGCTCCAAGGCTTCCACATTCAAGTCCTTGGTCGAAACTGCCAAAAATCTGCGCATGGCGATGCTGGTAATATATTACACAGACCATCATGAAACTACATGTAGAATTGTGTTTAATTAATTGCATTTATTATATTGATAGGATAAGAGGTTTGCCATAGATAGTGCAGAAAAGGGTCAGCTACAAAAATGTTTAGATACTTTGCAGCATTCCATAAAAGTAACCTCCTTGCAGTCCATGGTGGAACGCTTGGAGAGTTTAACCAGACAATTGGGGTAAATATTAGTTAATACTAATTAATAATGTTATTAATAAACACTAATTAATCAAATATATTGTCAAGAAAGGAGGCCAAATTTAAGTAACATTTGTGCTATGATTGATTTACAGCTTAAAATTTATGATGTCTGGTCCTCCAGGTACAGAGTTGTTTATATCTTCAGATATGTTCTTTTTGGAAGTTCTTTTGGAATCCACAGGTGTAGTTAAAGATGTAAAGATTCACCATGAAGGAAAAAATGAACAACAGGTATAAACTTTTCATGAAAACATCTATTCAACTTTCATACGGTCCTCAGAAATAGTTCTGTAAAAGTTTTATACTTCGAATCAACAGATTGTACTTCATTTATAATTTTCTATTTTTGAAAAGAAAGAAATTAAACATTTTACAGTATCCAAAAACAGGAAATGGGTGAATTGTCACCTTGAGGAATGTATGAGAGTTAGGAACACCTTGATTCATATTAATGTAATAATATGTCTTGATACTATTTACAGAGCTGTGATGTGTTGGTATCTTGTTTGTCACGGGGAGACTTCCTTGATTTTACAGTACAATTAGAAGGTTTAGCATCTATATATCAGTTAAATGCAGATAAAAAAGTAAAATGTAAAGCATTTAGTGCTTTACAATCACTGGAGGCTGACTTGGGTATTTTAGCTCAGTTGCAGACATTTATGAAAGAACCGTTTAATCTTGTTCATAAAAGCCCAGTTGGTTAGTTCTACGATTTAATGTCACTAATATTTACAAAATAACAACCGAATGTTATTGTCAAATCTTTAGAATGATGTTTTCGTTTAGGGATCCTCGAACGAAGAAGAGGCGGTCATGCCATGAAACTTACATATTTTGTTTCTCCTTATGATTTAATAGACCAGGAGAATCGTACCTGTGATGCACTAAATTCAGAAATAGTTATTAAACGGAAGATTGGTCATTCCGTTACAGTTTGTATGGAAGGTTCCACTGCTCACAAGTTGCCTACATCTAGTATCATAACTGTAAATAGAAGTCCTACAGGAAAAAGGTTTGTAATCCGTTAAAAGTTCGGAAATTGTTTAGTTTAATATAATTGTTGTCCAACCGATAAATTATTTTTAGTACTCCATCCTATGCTCCATTAGTTGGTACAAATTCATCCGTATTACCTGCTTGCTTCGTATTGAAACTTGTTAAGAAGATGCCAATGTGTATGGAACTGTTACGTAGGATACAAAAGGTCACAGAACTCGAATGTGGAGACATATCTGCTCCACATCCGCTACTTAGTTTGATTATACAACATGCCAGCGATGGTCAGCTAGATTGCCGGAATAACAGAGGACTTTATGTTGTATGTACATCATTTTTGATATTTCTGTAATATCAAAACTGCTTTCTATCCTGTGCATGCATTTCGTTGTAGAGTTTACCGGACCAGCAACACTGCTATTTCATGACAGAGAACAAAAACATGGAAGGCGTTTTAGTCTGCAGTATCTCATTTACACATCCAGCTCACGTTCCACAAATCTTGGTGTATCTGCGACAGCAGGCGCTATTCAATACATTAATTGCTAGTTGCGTGAGATCTATGGCTCGACATGATCCGGAACACGCAACTATATTTGAAGTGAGTGCTCTATCATGGCAACACATATCGGTAAGTTTGGAGCATCCTTTCGAGGAGACAATGGCAACAGCAGAATTGGATTTGACGGACATTTCCGCGTTGAAGTGTAAATTGTACGGCATCAGCATTACGAATACGGAGCGAACGTCGGATCTGACTGGAAAGGTTCTGCAGAAATGTTTAAGTATACCTCTGACAATGAGGATTCTCATGAAATCGTGGGAAAGCCGCGATACTTTGGGCACAATGAATAATATGAACAGCGGAAACGGGAATTACAACGTAAATCTCGGTCCCGGGAAAGATCAGAACAACCAAAATGGCTCCGGCATGCCGGACTTTACTAATGGGGAGGCAAAAATAAAACAGGAGCCTGGTTTGAACAACGGGAATGGAACTATGGGGAGACAGCAATCGTCGCAGCAACAGCAGCCGCAGCAGCAACAACAACAGCAGCAGCAGCCTTTTTTAGATGCCGGAACGGAGAATAGTATCGGTTTTCCGTCATATTCCGGCCAATCCGATACCACAACCACTGCGATGCTGAATCCTCTGCAACTGGGAGCGTTGCTTGGACAAGCAAAAAATCCTTTAGTTAATCCTATTAACGAACGTACGAAGAAGACGCGTAAACGAAAAACTGCTGACGGTATTTGGCGGAGCCCGAAGAGAAAAGGAGACGAGACTGCGGAGATATTGTTGGAGAGCTCAAGTTCGGATTCAACGCCGTTGGGTACGCCAACCGGTGGCAGGGAGAACTTGAATGAAACGAGAACATCTACGCCAACATCGGCGACAAGCTTGACCAGCGGTTTGGATTTTTCTAATTTGGACCCGACGGACATTCTGGGAACGGACAAGAGTTCCGATTACGATTTCGACAATGAAAGTGAGATTACGGAAGTCCATGATTTACAAGATGTGGAAGAATTGATCAAAAGAGACCGCAAATCACGGAAAAGGGAAGAGAAAAAGAGTCCGATTATATTCGAAGATAACAAAAGTTTGGTGCCGCCATCAGTAAGTATAACGCCAATTTCAAGCAGTAGTTTCGGTCAAACTACGAACTATAACACTGTACTTACGGGGATGGGTTTGGAAAGACGACCAGGTATTGAAATAATACCGATTGCGTCTTCGCCTCAGACTACTTTACCGAGTTCTATTACTATAACTCCAATAGCTGGACCAACGCAGTCCAAAAGTTTGACGGACGAACGTAGAGAGAGAAAGAGCTCGAAGGGAAAGTCGACGGAGGATAAAGGTAAAATGGAGAAAAGACGTAAGCGAAAGAGAGAGGACAGTCCTATGGGACCGCCGCCGGATAAGATATCGTCGAAGCAGGACCCATTGTCGAAGCCGGTATCGGTAAGCATCAAACCGACCGAATCGCCGCCGAACTTGGGTTCACGGCCGTCCTCGCCCGCGACGACACTAAGAAAATTTAGTCCGTCGCCGACGCATACCAGTCCTCTCGCTCTCGTAGGTAAGTCCAGTCCTACACTGAAACAATCAACCACCAAGCCAGTGCAAAGTCCAAAGCACTCTCCGGTCTATAGCAGTAGTCCCAAACATACACCAGTGCCTGCGAGCGTGAGCCCGAAACATGGCACGTCGTCGCCGAAGCATGGTAGCTCAGCCAGCACCGGTAAACCGAGCATGTCCGCGCTGAAATCCGCGGCAAATTCTCCTTCTAGTAAAACCACCGATTCTGGGCAATCCAAGATAAAGTCTTCCTCGTCATCCTCGAGTAAAGACTCCAACCGTGACAAGGAGAGAAAGACATCGTCGTTAACCTTCGGCGGATCGAGTGGTCATCAGAGTCCTAAGACAAAATCCTCTAGCGGTAAGTTAAAACAACTGGAATTAATTCCTAGCGGTGAAACGCAGGCTACCTTGCCGAACAGCGGTGGTAGCACACCTCCGTCCGGCAGTTCGGAGCTCGGAAAGTCTGCGATCGCCCAGCAGCAGGCGAGGAACAGGAAGGGTTCGCTGAGTGCTGTTATCGATAAGCTGAAGAACGCTCAACATTGCACGGACGATAGTGGCAATGGCGGAACCAAGACCGCAACCAGCAGCAGCGGCAACTCGAGTGGTCAGAAAGAAAGAAGCGTAGGAAGTTCATCGGCCAAGGCTGCGGAGGGAAAGTGCGTCAGTAAAAACTCTTCGATAGAGTCCAAGAATCCTGGCGAATATATGGTGAAGCATAGTTCGGACGGGATGAAAATAACGATCAATAAAACACGCACAAAAGACTCCAAATCTGGAACGAACCTGAAGTTGTCGTCGTCCTCCGCATCCGTTGTGACCGGTGCCTCTTCGAGTTCCTCCACCTCGTCGACCTCGATGTCGGGTAACGGTTCACCAAAAACGCACACTGGGTTGAAGCCAGGAGTCAGTTCTGGTCCTGCGTCGAAGAAACCTGCGTCTCAGACTTCCCCGAAATTGTCGGGATCCTCGTCTTCCGGTTCTGGCAGCAGCAGCGGTAGCAAAACGACGCTATTGGGGCAAAAGATGCTGTCAGCGTTGAAATCCATATCAGGACCAAACTCTAGTAGCGGTAACGGTACTGGAGGACTGAACGTTGGCGGTGGCGGAAGCGGTGGCCTGCTTTCTAAGAATGTGATGTCCTCAAAATCTTCTTCGAGCTGCCCAAAAACTACCAGTTCGGGGGTGACGGATCTCAGCCGGAACCGCGACAAATCCCGGTTGTCGAAGTCCGGCGAAAAAAGTCTGTTTCCTTCGAAAGGTATCGGTGATACCAGAAAATCGAGCCCCTCTGGTCTGCGGGAGGAAAGCGAGAGCGAAAGAGCGTTCAAGCTTCTCGCAGCTCACGCCACCATGTCCAATTTATCGAGTTTGCCGAACTTGCCGCCCCAATTGGTTGTAGAGGGGCTGATGAAGCAGTTAGATACCAAATTCCAAATACCCAAATTGTCTGCTCGAGTCAATGCCGAATCCAGCGATAAAAAGACCGAGAAGCTGTCCATGCTTCCCGATACAGGAAAGACCCTGGATAACATAGCAACGAAGCAAGCTACGGAGCCGGGGAAACTGCAAACGATATCAAACACGTCGTCGACCACCGCGAAAACGGTGCCGGACGACCAGTCGAATCAAGGTAGGCGAGATCATGTACAAACAAAACCTGACAATCTTTCCATGACAAGCGCAGCCTCGGCAATGTCTATGAATCTCGGCGCCGACACCTCCAGCAACCTCCTGCTTCCAGCTCTAGCGAGTAACAGCTCGCACGATCTGGACATTCCCACGAACCTCTCGATGCAGTCAGCAGAGAACGAGTCCCGCGATTCGTGCAAAGAGCCGCCGATGAGTAGAAGCAACACACAGTTTCTGAGTAGTACTCTAAACTCCACGGCCAGCGGCAAGGATGACGCCGCTGGAAGTGGCCCCGTGATGGCCGTTCTACCAAAAGGTACAGATGCACCTTCTACCAGTAAACCCGTGTATTCTACCATGATGGCGACAGGCACGATAGCCAGCGGCAACGGGACCAGCACCCCGAGCTCCGGCAACGGGAATTCGGAGAGCTTGAACCTGAGCATCAAGCCGGTGGACGCAAATTTGACCAAGTATAAGTCGGACGAGAAGAAGCAACCTCAGCCGCAACAACCGCAGCCACCGGCACAACAACAGCAGCCTTTGCAGCAGCAACAGTCACTGCAACCGCAACAACAGCCGCAGCAGCAGCAAGTACCGTCTTCCGGAGGATCCTCCAGCACATCGACGCTGGGAACCGCTGCGTCCTCGGACAGCTCGTCGAACACAATGAAACCGGCCGGCACGGAGATACCGCCGACGACGTCTCAGGAGGCTGCGGAGATGTTGTTGGACTTTTCCACGCCGAAGGACGTGGCCAAGAGTTTGAACTTCACCAGCATTCCCGAGAGGGCGATGACACAGGCGGCCTCGGTGCGTAGGAACACGCCACCGCCCCCGCCGCCCGCCTTCCCGGCGAGTCCTTCCGTGAGCGTGCACATTGTAAAGAGTCCTGCACCCTCGCCGAGAGTCATCCCGCCCTCGCCTCACTCCGCCTCGCCGTGCATCACCGACGACGAGCTGATGGACGAGGCGCTGGTGGGAATGGGGAAATGAAGGTTACTGAAACTCTAGATTTAATTTTATCCGCGAATCACACACACGTTGCACAGGACGCAGGGTGTCCTGCAAGCTTGGTGAGTGAGTAATGCTGCCTTTCCGCGCGGATCAGTGTTTCTCAAGCACGTAACACGTACACACGTGTCACCTCGCACGGTACCGCGTAGAATTTCTCAACAGGTATCATGAGGCTGATTGCTTGCGAGACACTGATGGAAATTAGTCGAATGATCCTCGGGGAGTTGCGTACACTTCAGCGGGACGTTCTACCTCTTTACTTTTTATTAGCGAATTGAATGTTGCGAATTCGAAGGATGGTGATGTTTTAGGGACCGGCTGTGGTCGAATTTTATTGAGTTAATGTTGCTCGAGAGGAACGTTGTAAGGACGCGCGCCTTGGATGAGCCACTATAATATAGGAAAACGAGTTTTTTAATGAATGTTTTTAAGCTGTGTTACCATTGTTACGAATTCTTTGAAATATTATCATCCACTTGTATATTTTCGTTGTAAGAAATGTAGCTTGTACAAAAGAGACGGTTTTATTAGTCGAAATGATAATACTCTTTGAAGAAAGTCATCTTAGCGAGAAAACTTTTTCTATATCACATTGGATTCTGAAAAATCGCTCACGAATCGTTCCATCTCGCAGTGTTAATACAGTAAAATGCGGATCAGTTTTAGAGCATGGGTATTCGATTACATGAAATAATGGGAACTATTTATTTCGAGAAAAATTGATTTTAATACGATTAATGCATTTCACAAAGTGATGATAAAAAGCGATGATAATAAAGCGATGATAATATATTTTATTTTACCGTCATGGTGCGTGTTCTGATCGAAGCGAGCATTTCATTCTTATTCCCGGGAACCGGTTTTAATTAATGAATCTTTTGATAGAGGACACCCTGTACATTGTCGAGACTTAGCGATTCTTCTGAGATGTCCTACCGAGTAATAGCGTTGTTCGCGACCTCGTACGCGAACATTGAGCAAGTTCAATCTTCCCGTATGTAGAGAATGCTGGTTCCATTGCAATGGTCGTTCGCAGAGATGGATATATAATATTTAAGCGCCACAGTGTATCAAAGCGATTTCTTCTTATACATCGGTTCGTTTTCTTGTGAAACAAGGACTCGAGGTTAGCAATAAAACGTTTGTTTCTAGATTTCTAAGGAGACGAAAGGGCGGGAACCGGGGGACGAAAAATAGTAAAATGGACGCGACGTACGAGAGATAAATATATGTATAGACACGAGTTATTTTCGATAGAATACGCGTTGGACAATACTTGTAAGGACACCGCGATGTGGATGTGTGTGACATTGATATATGAAGTATTTCTTAATTAGTTAATTTAATGCGAGCAAGTCGATTCGAGAGAAATAAAATTGTCAAGAAAAAGATACATTGAAGTTCGTTCAAGTCACATTCAGAACATGTGTTCAAAATTTCGTATTGCCTGAAACGAATCCAACAAAGCCGTCGATGATAAAGATTTATTTTCCTTTAACCCCGGGAACAATCCAGAAAAAGTGTGCTTTTGCAACAAGACTTCCAGGCAATTTCATTGTACGCATGAGTTCGACCGAGTTCGGCACACCCTGTATATGGACAATTTTCGCGCGCAATGCCCGGGAGAAAAGAGAAGCGATCGTCGAGTCCTTTATTCTCACATCTTCTTTCGTTGTTCATTCCCGTGCATCATTCTTTAACGATGTATGTATGTACAATGAAGTAAATCGGTACTTCGATGACGCGAAGCCTGTGTGTTACCCAGTTTTATGTAATCGATCGAGTTAAACACGATCGGTATCTCGTGCGATTACTTTGTTACGTTGGTCTTCGATCGATCCTTGAATAAAACTTTATAGAAAGATACAGACTTGGCACGATTGCGCGTGGGAATCGATTATCTCTATCACTGGTTAACCCGTTGCCTTATGATCTTGTCTAATGGCTGTGTCTACCACGAATAGCTGACTGTGTACGAAGCATGAAAAATATTTATTAATAAGTTTGATCTCGTTCAACCGCAGCTAAAAGAAAACACACGTTTTTAAAAGCAATGAGACGCATTCGTTCGGCTTTTATGCAGTTGCTCGCTATATTGTACATACACTACGTCGTTGCACATCAAATCTTCGTTTCTTTTTCCGTCGTGTCTAGTAACCGAAAATATTTTTCGATCGTCGAATTTATCTAGCGAAAACTGATACGTTATTAAAATGTTCTACAATTTTCTATCAATGCCGTCGCTGCATTCCCTCGACGGTGAACAGTGTTCATAAATAGTGGGTATATTAACGAGCAATCCACTGTTTTCCTAAACCGTGGCAATACACTTTAAATTCAATGATATTTTCTCGCTAATCCGCTCGGTCGTAGATAACTTGAATGTTATTTACGAAACACCTGTTCCTGACTTTATCAGAAGCGAATGTTGAGATTTGATGAAAAACGGATTACTCGTTTGCATATCGAATGAATCTTCAATAAAGCGTTATTTCCACGTGTATCGATTTTACAACGTACAAATAAGAGTTTACAAATAAGAATATCGATGTCTTCGTAATGATCAAGATTACGTATTTAAATTCCATAAAATAATTGCAGAGAAAGTTACTTTCAGTTCCATATCGAAGGTATTGTTTAAGAATCGTTTAATGAAAACAATTAAGGAACTGCCATTCCTTGTTGGATTGTACAAACAGTTTAAAAAGTACAAACTTAGCGGTTAATAGGACTTAAAATGACATCACGATTTATAGGTTTAGGAAATCGGTTGTTTCTTTGGATATCCAGATTTTCTGCAGACGGGCAACAAACGCATTTACCTCGACTCACTTTTTAAGAAACATTTATCGATTCTAAATACAAAGGAAATTGCAATGTAATTTTTAATACATATGGAATCTACGTAAACGTGAAATCTACTCTTTCCAAACACGTTCCATTTTTTAATACATGTAACACTTTAACAATCCCTTACTACATGAATGTACAAAAACGATCGAAAACTGAATATCTACGGAATAACTGTTTCCTTTCATTCATTTTCAAGTTCCATTAACCCCTACGAATACTATTACTGCCGTCAAAAATGGAAGATTCAATGAAACTTGCGGCGATCGTAAGGCAACGGGTTAACTTCGCCGGAATACCGTGACCTTTGCGTTTCTTGCGTGATTGCTTCAAGACGAGAGACAGGAACTTCAAGAGGACCGAAGATTCGATAGGAGGACACGTCGCAACGAAAATATTGAGCTTACAGGAACGGGGGATTGCGTTTGTTTGACGCAGACAATGTTTCTCTCAACGTTAACGCGTGCTGGCGAAAACGTGAACAAGGAAATTGCGAAGGAACGCGGCACGAGTGACGAATGGCTAAGCGACAAGCAAATGTGAGACGAACTTGCAAAGACGGAGCTTTAATCCTTTGCGCTGTAATCAACGCGGTTCCTTCGCCCAGTGAGATTAACCGACAAAAAAGTGAAACTTATTTGTGACTTTATGTCCACCGTATGATCAGCGGTAAAAATCGATAATTTACTCGCCTATAGGCTGCCTTTTCTGTACGAAAGTTTATGTTTGTACTTACAGTGACTTCCGTTAATATTCGGAATAATAACAATAATATTCGTAATAACTTTTTTAAAACTAGAATAAACGATTGGAATTTTTTTTAGATATGATAAAAGAACTAGTATATTAGACAATGACTAAACTGCTTTCTTAAAATTTTGCTATTACTTATAATGACAAAACAAAATAAAAGACTCTCGTTTTTAACTCTTTTATCTGAGTCTATAACGAAAATCTAAAAAATACGTTTTGTAGGTCTCGGTAAGTTATATGCATGTTGAAAATTTCATCGAAATTGGTTAACGTAAAGTCATATTACAAACGTTAAAAGATTGTAAAAATTGCAAATTTCTCATACTTATTGATAAAAAAATGTCCAAAATCGAGACAAAACTGCGATTTTTGCGATCTTTAATTGTTTCTGTCAACCGATTTCGATGAAATTTTTAACATGCACATAACTTACCGTGATCTACAAAACACATTTGTTAAATTTTCGTTATAGGCCCAGATAAAAAAGTTAAAAAACGTGAGTTTTTTAATTTTCTTTTGTTATTCTAACCAATAGTAGAATTTAAGAAAAGCATTTTAGTTATGGTTTAGTAGATTGATCCCTCTATCACTTAAAAAATAGTCCAGTTCTAAAAAAGTTATTACATTTTGAAAAGTATCCGAATATTAACGGGAGTCACTGTATGGATTCTCGCGCTTTAGTATGCGGATCTTAAACCATAAATAGTGTCTCGATTTGACCCGATTCTTAAAACTACTCGTTCTTTCGTATTCGATTTACATTTTGAATGAATAAATTATGCTCTGTAACTTTATTTCTGAAAAAGATACGAAGAAGCAAATACAAAGAAGTCGAACATTTTACAGTGTCTAAAAAGATGTTAGTGTCAATTGATATTTTGGAAACTGTGCTAAACCTGGAAGACACACACAACAAAGTATCCATTTAAGTACTACATATTTTGATCGATTGAATCGAACAATAAATTTAAGTCACATGACGCAATTCGGACTACGTTTCCGAAGATCGAATGCTTTTACTAATTTAAATGGAGGTATTTTAATGTCGCGGTTGCTCCAGAGGATTGAAGTTTCGACGTTGCGGAAGCGAATGCGTTGCATTTTGTACAAATTAGACAAGAAATGTTTCGATGAAAGGTTCGATTGAGGTTGAAGAGAGACGGACACTGGACGAGTTTATGGTCCATTTATGCTTATCGACGAGCAGAGCACTAGCCGAGCAGATTGATAGTATTTTTGTTATTTTCTTCCGAACATGTAAACCAACGAAATTCAATACTATCGACCCGCTCGGTTCGTGTTCGGCTCGTCAGTGAGTATAGATGGACCTCTATCCGTCCGTTGCCTATTCGTAATGTTAGGAGAGACAGAAATAAGGACGGTTGCTTATACTTTCCACGTGTGATCGTATATTCCACGGTGTGAAAATTGTATGTATTTTTCAAGCGGGAGTGCCGGTATATTACTGAGACAATACCTTGCTTCGACGGGGAGTCGTAGACGCGTGTAATAAAGAGTACGATTCCTTCGAAGGGAATTGTCCAGTGCTCTCGGCGGGAAGAAGAATACGGTTTATTTTTTCAATACCCACGAAAACGTGTACATAGAACGAAGGAGAGAGTCGTGTTCACGCTGGTAAACGGTGCTCTAACGAAACGAAACGTTCAAGAACGGAATGGCGAACGCGCGAGAGATGCTTGGTTCCGTCTCTTTTGATCATTTGCGTGCAAGGAATTTCCCTCGAAGGAGTTATCTACGAAATCTGCCAGGCCGACTGTAAAGAGAACGATTGAGAAACGATGAAAACGGAACGATGTTATCATAGTGTTAAAAAATGTTCGAATCCTTCACTGTCACGGCTTCCTCTGTTTTCCGCGAGGGAAGCTGCCTAGTATACAATTTTTCGGGCGAACTTGTCGAACCCTGCTCTGTGTGCTCTATAAAATGTCCACGCTTTTCTCCGCATGATTTCGATTGTGTCAGCGTGTCCTCGAATCCGGCGGGGCTACGATTCTAAATGTTCGGGAGAGAACGTCGTGGGAGAAGATTTTATACAGTGCACAGAGTACGTTATTCCTCTACGACACATGCGAGAAATACAAATCTATGAAAGGAGAATAATTTTTGTATAAATGTATAACCGTATTAGCGCGTGTATGTACATTTACGTATCGAGATGTATAGAGAAAAGATCTATATACATAACTGATATATCTTTATCGACGACGAGTGTCTTGGAAAACACGCCGAATCCTCGAGACAAGCATGTAAAAGCCTTGATAATAAAATACTATGTCTTTTGGAGAGCTGCCGAGCGCGTTACTTCGAGCCATCTGTTCGATTAGGAGGCATCGGAGGAGGGTGGTGAAAATACAGACCAAGCAAAAAAGAAATCAGCTACCGTTTATTTTCGTGGAATAATATCGCGACGCGCGCGCATTAATAATCTCAATTTTATTATCTAACTTACACGATGAGTATCACTAACAACGGGTCCTTTCATCTTCGACATCCGCAAGCCCACTGTAAAACTCGTCTCTTTTCACGAAGACCTAACTGACTACAGTCATTTATTTATGATCACGTTAATTACGCAGGTTCTAACACTGACTACAGCGAACTAGGTTCGTTGATATAGCCAAGGGATCCGGAACCTGAGTAATCATTTCCAATCGCAGGTTTTCCATCCCGCCTGTATTATTTTGCAATTGTTTCTTTTTTAATTGGTCGGTCATTGAAGAATACACGTCCAGCTTCTCGGGATTAGGTAGTCTAGGAAATCGTCGCGTACGGGTGGACAGTTGACTCTGGCGTAATGCTCCATGCAGTACAGGCTCGCCATCAATCCGTTGCCTACGAACAGCGTAAGCCAAAAGAAGATGTTCCCGTTCGTCTTCAGCACAAACAGAAAAAACATCCCGACGCCAGCGAACAGGGTCAGCATCACTGGATAGAAGAACCGAAAGGTGAAAGACAGGATGTACTCGTGAAAGATCGCGGAGATCGAGAACACCGTAATCATCGACAGCATCTTATTCCGCCTTGTCACGATCTCGTACATGTCCTTGTAGATGTAAGAGTACAGCCAGTCGTGCACCACGATGTTCCACGTGCGGTAGTACATGAAGTATGTCCTTGAGTTCCACCAGTCCTAAAACGCAAACAGTTAATTCGTCTTGTCGTCTTGGCATGGGCTCTGGTATCGGCGAATGTTTCCCGGAACTTGGGAAAGTTGCGAATGGATTGGAGGAAATGATGACGAAAGGAAATGATTCTGCGCTACGATTTCGGTGACTCACGCTGTGGAATTTCCACCGTGAAGTTCCACCGTCATTGGTCATTGAGATGTGATAGTGCACTAGCTTTTTTCTTGTCTATGGGCAAATATTGGTCATTCTTTTCTTAGAAAATTGAAGGCGAACGTGCTTAGAGTATAGACAATTTTGCTAGCAGTTTAACCGTTCAATGGAAATTTTCTAGTAAATTGTGCCTTTCGCTTCACCTTTTTACTAGACGTAGTACATGCATAAAGTTCAATTAGACTAGACCGGGGGTTTCAAACTGTAACGAGTTTCGAAGAATTTAAGGATATTATTACATTATTTTCAACAAAAGTCAGTTTCATGTAATTTATGTTCCTTGCAATTCTTATTTTGCATAAAGATCCGCGTTATTACTGTTGTTAGTTTACTTAAATTTCACTCTGAGAAATGAAGTATTCCTCCGTAACTTCTCGTTTCACAGGACGCGGAAATCATTTCACGGCTGGCCCATTTTCGCTTTCTAAACGTGCCAGTCGTTTCAAGTGACGAATACTCACTTTGTAGAACATTTTATCACCGAATCGCAGCAATTCGGCGAAGGCGTTCATCCAAGAGTGCAACAGACAGTAAAAGCCGCAGACAAACATCATGGTTCCGGGTAACATGGCGCTAAGGATATTGAGTATCAGCATTCCCCATTCTACAGGTTGAGTTCCAAAGTCCTTGAAATTCGGTTCCACTAGACGCTCGTACAACAACGCCACGCAAAATATGACTGCCATTACTTCAGCTAAATTCACTAGAACTATGTTCCATCGGATTGTTTTTGCTCTAGAAAAAGAAACGCGCATGCAAATAGTCACAAATATTCGAACTCTTATAGACCGGGATAATTCAAAATACAAATAAATTTCGATACTCAAACGTTTTTATCGAACACTTTGCGATATTTTTAAACATTCCAAACAATGTCGATAACATTACGTAATCGTTGTACTTTGCTTGTAGTTCTTGACAATGGTACTTGAACAGTGACCAGCGAAGAAAAACGAGCTTTCGCATAACTAATAAACAATATCACGAGATTTACAATGATTCCATCAATCATTGTACGTGTCTATCTGACAAAACGCAAATCTAATCTGTTATCGACAAACTTTGGAAATGTCCGTATCGATTATCAAAACACCGAGCTATAGTTGTGAATTAAGGAATTATTATATTTTTGTATTAAACCGCGATTTACCTGGGATAGCTTTCTTGGTAGACCAAAGTTGGAGCGAATAAGAAGTAAAGGAACTTTGAAAAGTCTGGCGGTTTGATCGTTTCCATGTCGGAATGAGATTTATATGTTAAAAACCTGGGTGCCACGCTTCTCACAAAGGCGTACTTTTTCATTAGCATTCGAGTCTAGACAGAATTCGAGAAAATACAATTTTTTATAGCCATGCGGTATTCAATTTAATTAACCCCTTGCCGTACTTCGTCGAGTCTGACTCATGACGGAGATTTCTAGCAATATTTCGTTAAGTATGAATGTTATTTTCATTTTTTTTTTTCTTAAGTTTGAACAAAATTCTTTTCTTTATTTAGAGCAATTTTAATTTCTGTTGAGATCACTTTTTTTATTTTTAATAAAATTCTGTTCTCTCCTCGTCAATATTTAAGTATTCAAGTAAATGTTGTCGCACAATGAATATATATTTTCTTCTTCTATGAAATTAGTACAGTCGATCTAATTATTGTAACTGTGAGAAAAATCGTACTGCAAGAGGTCAACTTTCACCATAGACAACAGATCTAATGATTTTTTGTACCAATAAATAATCCGCTATGTTCTTCAAATTTAATGCGAATTGTTAAATAAATAAAAACTTCGTATTCAAGTTATAAAGTCAAGACAATTTTGGTGTGCGATCGTTACGTACCAGTTCCATAAGTACGATCATACTGGACGCTACGGGTAACTCTTCTTTGAGCACAGCTTTCGTAGGTAATATGATGAAAATGATCTCGTAAGCGATCAAAGCTGTTAACCACCCGTAATCCCAAACTTTCCTTGAGAACGCTGCAAAGGACATCTATTAGATTGTTTGCGAATAATGTGGTAGGATATCGACGAGCGAACCGAGTTGCAGCGGTCTTACACTTTGGTGGCTGTTGTTCGCGCCGAGTGGCCCAGAAACAAAAGGCAGCATAAACTCCGAACGTTGAACATGTCATCAGTGTCCACACGAAGAGCACCACCGGAAGCTTCGCGAAGCCCTTCTTTATAGTGCTGATGGCGATATTGGGTCTGAAATGACAAGTTCAATTAACATTCTTTGCTTTTATTTTACAGTATTATCTTGAACGAAAAATATTTTTACAGTTTCAGTCTTGTTCTTGAAATAGGATTTCACTATTTTAATCCTACCGAGGCAAGTTCCAAAATTTGTATCGCTTTCCAAGTTCATAATAACATAATCAAATTCTTTGATTCGAACAAGTAACTTTTCGCGATAGAAAAAAGAATAGAGACTTCTTTAAAGAGAAATATGGTTTCATTATTTGATATGGTTACATATGGTCACATTTTAATATGGTTACATATTTATCAAAATATTTTCTTAAGTAACTGGAAGAGAGATTCAGCGTTGATATAACGTAATGACAGTTGAAGTTATGCGAGTTTAGAAATGAATAAATTGCTTTAGATTGAAGTAGCGAGCTAACAATTGGATAAGGTGTTAGAGCTCCTTTGGATCATCTTTTCTAGATTGAAAATGAGTCTACTATGTCTACTGTAATCTTCAATTTAAGTAGAAAATATAACACAGGCTTCAATAAGATTAGTTTTGTTTGAAAAGTAATATAGAAACGCATAAGCACATATCAATATTTATTATCTATTTGTAAATAACTTTTATCTTATAAACCTCAGATAAGGTATACGTAAAATGTAAACAAAACGAATTGAACATAATTGAAAAAACGACCAACGTATTTTTAAAATAATAAATTATTTGTTCATTTTGATTTGGTTGCTTCTAAAATTGATCATTTCAAATTTTTTATTTTTATTTTGGGACATCCCGCGGGTTATACGATAAAAACAAAATGAATGTGTCGGTATAAAACGCCTGTACTTACGATCCCGTTGTCCGAATATCATAAATAGCAGTATGTATAAACAGAATTATCAGTACTGTTACGATAACGTTGTACATTGTTCGAATATGTTTGATTTCGTAAAGATCTGTCAGCATGGAATTCCTTGGGAGGAACTGTTTCCTCGGTAGACCATCTTCCTCCGATGGTTTGCTATGAAAACATAACGTTCGTCATTATCGAGACACATACATAATACACATCCGGTATAATTTGTAATTAAAATTCGTTTAATCACATACAAGCACAAATTAACAGTTGATACTAACTATGGTACTATAATTCAATTGGGCTTTTGCTTAAAATACAATTTTATTAAACATTACGTTCATCTTTTGATTCGAATAAAATTTCACATCTAAATGTTTATTCATAAATCATATAAATTCTATAGTTATTTCGCAGAAAATCAAAATTAGGTAAGAAAATCAAGGTATGTACATATTTACAGAAGACGAATCGCTTGCAAACGATAAGCTACTATGGAATGTTAGTGTTCGTTATCACTGTGTTTGGTTTCATATAATACACAGTGTTGGCTACCGTCTGAGTGCACGTGTACTTAAACCTCATTCGGTACATCTTGTTTCGATGTCAATATCATGTCATTATAGAATACGTTCAAAAAACGAATATTGAAAACATCAGTTTTCGTGCAATAATAATAAGAAATCCGTTCGGTGCAATTGTATTCGGTTGATTTTTTCATTTGTCTTTGGCGCGAAACTGTTTCTACATTTCGAAAATAACCAAAAAAAATTTTCGTTACTCTTTGCATGTTATACAGAAACGTTATAGAGAATGGTAAGCAGATTTCTCAATTCGGGTCAAAGCAGTTAAGTGCACGCCTACCGAGATCATCTTCAAAGTAATTTGTAATTCGACGTATGCACGCGAGCCGTTAATTCCAAATTTGTTATGCCATCACTCTTCGATAGAAATGATTCCACATCAGATGCAAATTATAGGGAAGAAACAAAACGATTACGTTCATACAAGAATTGTGAAGAAGAAACGAAACGATTACGATCGTACATGTATTATAAAGAAGCAACGATCCGATTATGCTTATGTACGAATCAAACAACGAAACAATTATGCTCATGCACACATATTATAAATGAAAGAAACATTCGTAGATCGTGTCTGAAATGACTGAAACGATTTTTGAACATTTGTAGGACATGCATGCATGTAAATGAAGCACAACAGAATGTTCATAAAGATGACTAGAATAAAAGCGCTTACATTCTGTTGCAGTATTTCGCTGCTTCGCTTAAATCTTTAGAGTTACTCGACACCACTGTTTCCATTTTTTGTAAAATGTCTGTTGCCATGTTGACTATTCGATTATCAAAAAGCTCCGACATATCTTCTCGCATTTCCTGTAAAAACCATTTCGATCATCTTTTCAGGTATAAACGACTAAACACCATGATCCATCTAATTTCGAAAGATGATAACGACTAAATAGTGGAATTTGTGCTCTCACAAGGAAAGCAACTAAGGCGAACTTAAAAACAGTAAAAAGGAATTCTTGAACTCGTGAGAAATATCAAATGAAAGAAGATTACACGAAACGTTGTTAAAATACGAATATTCGAAGCGCGTTGTTATATTAAAAAAATATGGGATTACGTACCTTCATGTGCCCTTGAAACTCATCGCGGATTATTTCACGTAGTTTGATTTCTCCTAGATCCATGGCCTCTATCTCTGCAAGGTAGTGAACAATTTTCGACATTATTAGCAAAATGTCTGATTTGGAAAAATCGCTGATTTTTATAATCAATTTACAATGACGATCAACACTATTATAAAATCATGAATGACGCCTACCACGTTTCTTGTCGGCCATTCCGTCCTCGCTAAATTTCTCGTCAACACCGCACGTTTCGGTGGTTGCGCTCATATTTTACACTTTTTCCACCCCGTAGGACGATCTATTGTCTCATATTCACTTCGAACCTCGAAATTTCTCGTTTTCCGTTAGTGTTTGCCGGAATGTTTGACGACAGAGGATAAAGACAAGGAAAAACTGAGCAAATTCGATAAAACTGATCGAAGAAAAATTTAACGCTTACCACCGGCGTATAAGAAAGCAACCTGGCTGGCAACCGTTTACGCTCTTCGAGACACTGGCGACAACTGAGCCGTTCGATGGATTCGGGCGAGTAGACATGGGCACCGCTACAATGCTTATCGATCTTCTGCCGTCGATCACGCGTAGAAAAGTATCCCGCTTTTCTTTCATTGGCGGAACCGCTATCGCTCGCTCGTGTCCTTTGATTCATCGCCTTCGCTCGCGGCGAGTGCACGCGCACCGAATGCACTTTTCACGCCCCCGTTTCTTCTAATTAGGTAATTGTGATAGCAGTTCGCGGCGGACCAAACTTGTCCTAAACCGATCCTCTCGTGCATGAACAAATAACTTTGGAAATGTCAAGATAACCAGACGACTTTTGCATCTGATACGTATGCGTTCCAATCAGCCGCGATACGGTCGATACTGATAGATACATCTCATCGGATTGCAAGGACAATGAGGTCTTAACTCTTCCTCTGTTCTAACGTCCGTCAGCAGATTACCGATCTTTGTACCCCGATGACCGATCCGAAATTTTTCTTTGTTGCCAAAATTTTATTTTAGGAAGGAAATACAATTTTGTATTTCGATCGTTTTGGTTTTGCTTTGACGATTTCGTAGACGTTTCCAGTAAACGTGAAAATTAAGTCTTTTAGATTTTGATGTTAAGTTACGGTTTTGGAATATGACGATCGTAAGAGTTTCACTGGACAAACTCGAATTTTGTCTAAATTTGAATTTTCTGTACAGCCGGTTTAAGTTGTTAACTATGCAGTTGCACTAGGTTCAATAAGGGGATCACTATCGCTCTGTTTTCTACGTACACTCCTCTCCAAAAGTTTTAGGATATTTAATTCTAATTAATTCTACATCTAATTTTGTAATCAATTTGAGAAACCGATAGAAAATTGTTATAATTCTTTCAATTTATTTCAAAGTTAATTGTATGAAACTGTAACAGGTCGAAGCCCAGTTCCGCCGATTGGCTCAGATACCTAGCGCTAGACGAGCTCGCCTCTCATTGGGCAGTGTTTTTCGTCAATAACTCGTAAACAAAAAGCCACAAATTGCATTTTAGCTAAATGACCTCAGGTACCCCTATTTCCGGGTGTTAACATAATTATGGAATACTTTGTAGAATTGCTTCTACGACTGGTTTGCGATTCATCTGTCTGAAAATATATTGAATGGTTTGCACAAGTTTTGTCAACCACTTCGTTCGTATAAATAATCTATCAGTGAATTGATTTATGGTGTCAACAACTTGCAAAGGTGTGGCGGGTAGTGTGAATTTGAAGATTATTTTTCGTGAGTCGGGAAAGTAAGCTGTACTTTCGCGATAATGTAAAATCACACACGATCGTGAAATTATTGTTAATCACTGATTTAATGAATGAATTATGATTTTACTAATCGCTTCGTGTTTTCAGAATATAAAATGAATTTTCATTTTCTTCCATTATTGCGTAAAACAATGTGACCAAGAATTTCGCCGCGCGCGTGCGATTACGAAGTTGTAGATAGTGCACGAGTTCACATTTTATTGGATCATATTTCCATTATATTTTGGATAAATTTGGATATATATTGAATTATGTTGCATTTTGAATGATATTTCCCTTATACCTGAAAAGGTGTTCAGAAAGATGTAAATATTACTCGAAGTATCTAGAAAATTGTGAATTGCTTCCATTCGTATGTTTTGAAGGACAATATTTGTGCAGCAATCTAATCTCTCTAGTATTGGTGCTGTTTCAGAAAAGATGAGGTTACATAGTTCAGTCAACGGGCATTGATTAATTTGTGATGAATGAATTGTGTAACATCATGTTTTCCGTTACTAGCGAAGTTTAAAGTAAGACAGTAAAATTATACTTAAAACCCGATTTTTATTATTCATTTTTAATGAAATAAGTCGAGTATAATTCGCAAATGAAAATGGTTGAATTTGTACGAAAAATCATTTATCCCTCTTTTCGAAGATCTCCAATTATTTTTATGAGTTGCTGATGATAAAAATATGAATATATAATGAGAAAATATCGCTTATTTATTCTGCATCGCAGAGTAGATAAAGTCAGCTGCGATGGAAAAGTTTGAAATTGCACTTACTCGACTTCGGCACCGAGTAATTACAGATATTTAAATTGCCGAGGGGAATAGCAACGAAGAAATTAAGATTACTCAAGCATCCGAAGACTGTTCGTTCTTAAAAACTGATTAATATTAGCTTAGAACGTTTTAGAGTGGAAAATTGCTTAAAGGATCTTTGCCGCGATCAAATATTACTTATATTTTGAAACAACAGCAGAAGAGAACTAAACATTTGATTGATACATGTTTTTATGATTTTTTTTACAGGACTATGAACTATTTGTTTTTTAAAAGAACAGTATTAATGTTGTTTCATATGCTGTTTAATTAGGTTTTAAACAGCATCGTTTGGAGTTCTTGTTCTTTTAGATGACTTGTCGGTGTGCAGAATTCCTGCTAAACGGGAATATTTTGAACAAAAATTCAAAAATGCTTAAAACTAAGATATATTTTCCAGGCATTGACGATCGAACATTTCCATTTTTGTGAAAATGATTAAAAAGGCAGTTATTTGTGTTTGACCTACCGAATTTGTACCACAAAATTTGCATGTTTTTTTGTTCATATTTCTTGAAATGATTAAAAACTAGGAAAACATGTGGGTCGTAAATGCCTAATATATACATATATTATACTAAAAGTAACTGCAGAAATCTAAGGTAATCGGTTGATTAAATCTCGAGATATCTTGCACACCGTTTTTAAAGACACAGTTTCGAGAAGAACAAGAACAAATAAATTTCAAAACGTTCCAGCCTTTACAAAACAAATTATCTTTAGGAATAAGAAGCCTGTAGCCGATTCGTATATCTGCGTGCTGTAACATTAAATATATGAAAAATTACGTTCTGAAACTTTAAAAGTAATTTTTCATATTTTTAATGCTATGGCACGCAGGTATACGAATCGGGTACAAGCTTCTTATTTCTAAAAATAATTTGTTGTAACCTTTTGCAATTTATTTTTAAAATTTCAAACTACTATTTCAAACAAAGATAAGGTGATATTTTTTGAAAATTTTGAAATGATCAGATCCCTTAAGTTGTTTTCTCATTCGACAAGCATGTTACTTCAGTCACGTAGACATATAATAACACAACGGTGAAGATAATGGTCTGCGCACCTATTTTTCCGACCTCTAATAACACAGAACGGAGACGGTCCGAGTGAAACAGTCCTCGAGTTGACGTCGAATAGATTATGGTATGAAGTTTGGATAGCGCAGTACGAAATGATGCTTTAAAGTGATTTCGACCATGTCAACACCATAATGCAATGTGTCACGAGTTATCGCTCCTATTTCCGTTCATCTATCCTTGGTTTCCCTGGTAATCTTTCTGGGGGACTTCTGCCCACGATAACGGGACAATAGTTGGCTTTCACATTAATTATGGTAAATGTTATTCTTATTCTATATTAAATAACGAGGAAATTTACAAGAACTTTTGAATTACGTAAGCAAAACGCTGTTACTCCTACTCCTCAATATTGGAAAGTGACCATAAAATTAATGACCATTATAAAAAAATGTACAGAATGATTATATTAACGGAGAACTTAGAATATTTCTTCATCAGATAGACTGCATTTTACTCGTATCAATAGATCTAATGAAAAAGATGTACGATGCCGTAGTCATGTAACAATGTGCAGTTATAGATTTAATATTTTTATTCTTTGTTGAGATTAATAAGTAACATTGTTACAGATTTACATTAGACAGTTTAACTTTTCATAAGAGATAAAAATAATTATATATTATATAAAAAGTGGTAATTATATTTCCTTGTTTCTATGTCTGTATATTTATAGACCCATAGATCTTTATTATGGATTATGGTTTTTAGAACAGTGCCATGAGGAAATAAAAGACACCATCGTAAAAAGAAAATAAAATTCAGTAAATTCTCCCCAATTGTCCTTCAGCTTGTAAACAAAAATGGATAATTTGGGAAGAGAAGATACGATTATTCGGGTCTCGGGGCTCGTTTTCATAGTAGCTGATTGTCAACAACTATAAAAACGAAACGCAAGGCTCGAATAATCGTATCTCCTCTTTCCAAATTATTCATTTTTGTGTACAATCTGAGCGTCAATTAGGGAGAATTTATTGTATTTAGAATAATTATAACTATTTTCTATAATAAAAAGTACCGTGTGTATTATAAGTAAAACATTAAAATAAGGATTAACGACTTTACATAATTAAAAACATTCGACCTACAAGTATGTTTGTATATATTATCATAGTTCGTTGATTTTGAACGCAACTGCATATGAATTATTTGTGTACGAGACAAGGAAAACATTGATAAAACGAAAATGGTCTGATAATGTTTATCTATCACGATGAAGAACATGTATGCAAGAACTTTGCCTTTACACCGATATGAAGCTCTGAAATATCAATTTTTTTATCATTTAAGCTAGAAAATAATAATTTCTTAGGACAATGTGAATTTTTAATACAACATTTGTCTTTTGTATGCTAGTTGATTGTCTGGAAGCACAGAAATATGTACAGAAATGTTCAGGAAAGTTTTTCTACGTGTAGTTTATGTTAAAAAAAGGCTATTTATTGTTAGCTAGGCTTAAAACATTTTTTGCAAATAGAGAAAATAAACAGTAAGTTTTTTTCGCGTTCCAGCAACGAGCACACATGATTTTTGCCGCTTCTGCCATAATCATGTACGCCTGAAGATATACATATAAACATAGCGCCATTGCATTGTGGCAAAATGCTCAAACTATTACCCAAGTTATTCGTGGATGATAATTCCACGGTTTTAACGTAGATGACGCCACTACATTAAACTCGAAGTGGATGCAGGTAACGAAGATTTCTATTATTCTCTTTTTACACAGTGACGAATACACAGAGCTATCGAAGTCTTTCTTTTTTTTCTTTTTGTTTTTGTATTTCGCCTGTTTTTGCGTGACTGTTACCATATCATTACTCTCTCTCTCTCTCTCTCTCTTTCTTTCTTCCTCTCTTTCTCTTTCATTGTAACAAAGGGTTCATCCCGTTTTTTGATAAATAAAGTTATTATTATTATATTAGCACCAGTATTATTATTCCATTATAGCAATAGCACCAGTATTATTAATCCAATAATATTATTCGGTTTACACAGATCAGTCTGTGTAGAAAGCATGGAATGGTAGGAAGAGAATAATAACAATTTTCGTTACCTACATCCAGTACGGGTTTAATATAATAGCGCCATCTATGTTAAAATGCTGAGCTCTTGGAATTATCGTCGATGAATAATTTTGATGTTTGAGCATTAGTTTAAGCATTTCGCCACTACGTGCAATACGTTCGCCACTACGCCACTACGCTGTTTTTATATTTTCAGGGGCAAACAATTCGTGCCGGATTTTACATCGTAANAGAGATAAAAATAATTATATATTATATAAAAAGTGGTAATTATATTTCCTTGTTTCTATGTCTGTATATTTATAGACCCATAGATCTTTATTATGGATTATGGTTTTTAGAACAGTGCCATGAGGAAATAAAAGACACCATCGTAAAAAGAAAATAAAATTCAGTAAATTCTCCCCAATTGTCCTTCAGCTTGTAAACAAAAATGGATAATTTGGGAAGAGAAGATACGATTATTCGGGTCTCGGGGCTCGTTTTCATAGTAGCTGATTGTCAACAACTATAAAAACGAAACGCAAGGCTCGAATAATCGTATCTCCTCTTTCCAAATTATTCATTTTTGTGTACAATCTGAGCGTCAATTAGGGAGAATTTATTGTATTTAGAATAATTATAACTATTTTCTATAATAAAAAGTACCGTGTGTATTATAAGTAAAACATTAAAATAAGGATTAACGACTTTACATAATTAAAAACATTCGACCTACAAGTATGTTTGTATATATTATCATAGTTCGTTGATTTTGAACGCAACTGCATATGAATTATTTGTGTACGAGACAAGGAAAACATTGATAAAACGAAAATGGTCTGATAATGTTTATCTATCACGATGAAGAACATGTATGCAAGAACTTTGCCTTTACACCGATATGAAGCTCTGAAATATCAATTTTTTTATCATTTAAGCTAGAAAATAATAATTTCTTAGGACAATGTGAATTTTTAATACAACATTTGTCTTTTGTATGCTAGTTGATTGTCTGGAAGCACAGAAATATGTACAGAAATGTTCAGGAAAGTTTTTCTACGTGTAGTTTATGTTAAAAAAAGGCTATTTATTGTTAGCTAGGCTTAAAACATTTTTTGCAAATAGAGAAAATAAACAGTAAGTTTTTTTCGCGTTCCAGCAACGAGCACACATGATTTTTGCCGCTTCTGCCATAATCATGTACGCCTGAAGATATACATATAAACATAGCGCCATTGCATTGTGGCAAAATGCTCAAACTATTACCCAAGTTATTCGTGGATGATAATTCCACGGTTTTAACGTAGATGACGCCACTACATTAAACTCGAAGTGGATGCAGGTAACGAAGATTTCTATTATTCTCTTTTTACACAGTGACGAATACACAGAGCTATCGAAGTCTTTCTTTTTTTTCTTTTTGTTTTTGTATTTCGCCTGTTTTTGCGTGACTGTTACCATATCATTACTCTCTCTCTCTCTCTCTCTCTTTCTTTCTTCCTCTCTTTCTCTTTCATTGTAACAAAGGGTTCATCCCGTTTTTTGATAAATAAAGTTATTATTATTATATTAGCACCAGTATTATTATTCCATTATAGCAATAGCACCAGTATTATTAATCCAATAATATTATTCGGTTTACACAGATCAGTCTGTGTAGAAAGCATGGAATGGTAGGAAGAGAATAATAACAATTTTCGTTACCTACATCCAGTACGGGTTTAATATAATAGCGCCATCTATGTTAAAATGCTGAGCTCTTGGAATTATCGTCGATGAATAATTTTGATGTTTGAGCATTAGTTTAAGCATTTCGCCACTACGTGCAATACGTTCGCCACTACGCCACTACGCTGTTTTTATATTTTCAGGGGCAAACAATTCGTGCCGGATTTTACATCGTAACTTACGGCGAGAGGGATAAGAATAATGTCTTCCTGTTGTTTTTAACAATAAATAAACTTATTCTGTATGACATAAATGCAGGAGATCCTCCGTAACATTTCTGTACATTTCTATGTGTAAATTTCCTTGATAAAAGCTATTCAAATTCTTTGAAGATAGCGGAGACATCGATGCTCCGTAGAACATATACCTCGCAAGAAAATAATTTAAAAAAGAGAGATCAAAGTAACTATTAATGTACGTGTCTTTAATCGATTAAGTATTTACAAATCTTAACTTTATTGCCGGTAAATTGATAAAGGGAAAGGAGTTATTAAAAACAATTTTAGTGTACTTCTTTTCTTTACTATTACATTTTGAAATGAGTATTTCGTAAAATTTTTAAAACGCTGCCGTCTCAACGAATAATTGTAATCGAACAACTATGAGTCTCCCAGTAACTGGTATGATTCGAAAATTCTTATCTGCCTTCGCCAACATGAGATTATCCACACTGATCTATTCCTTATCTTTATTTTTATATTTGTCTATTCGTTTACCTGCTATTTATCTAATTCATTGTTACCTTTTGTCAATGCATTTTGCGTTTTAATAAAATGTACTATTTCATCAATTTATATTCCAGGAAAATGCTAGTCACGCCTTAATCATTTAATTCCCTTCTACACACTTGCGCAAATCATGAGTGTGAAAACTGAGAAATATGGTTCCAGAGTTTGCAGAAGTAAAAATTCGGATAAATGCGAAAGTATTTTCGAATCGAATCCGATGTTTCCTCGAAGCAACGTGTCCTAGTAATTCGTATTTAATTCGTAAGTAATTCGTACGTAATTACATTCACAACAATGTAATCGAAACCCCCGGTTGCAGACGTGCGATTATTAAAAGGATTAAGCCTACGTGAACGATTTGTACGCAGCAGGTATGTTATTTGAGAAATGTCTTAATTAGAATACTCGACGCGATAGAAAGGAAACGCGCAAGCTCCTGCAAAACGTTTTAGTACGACCTTCTAGGTAAACGTACTGCTCGGAAACGGCAAAGGTGTTTAGTTCGGGTCGACTGCAATTTGAACGGACGCCTTCGTTACACGCACAATTAATTACTGGGACGTAACTGATATCGCAACACGGGAATCGTACGCAATAGCGGATGGAATTTTCGAATTTTTCAAATTCGTTTCTCGCGGGGAAAACTGTATCTCGTCTTCGCAAGTTTCAAGTCCAAGCTGCGTTCGCTTCCGATTAGAACATAGACGATAACAGTTTACTCAGGAACGAAAACCGTGCACAATGGAGGATGAAAAATCCGATATCGATAATGTCTTGTAACGTGCACAGCAAGATAACAGTGTTTGACGCATGCATGGGACTGATTAAACGGACAGGTCATCTGTCGGTTCGATGGAATAATTGTGAACGTTTCGAATTTCGTCGACGTCATCGTGCAACACGTCACAGAATTTCGTTAAGAATTTCTTAAATTCTTGGACATCATTGGATTCACGTCCGCCACGATTCTTCGGAGATGACAGCTCATTCGGTCGTTTCAATTCATCGCTGGGAACACTCAAAATACAATTAGGTCGCGTCCTATTAAATGTCAGATCATTCGAAGAGAACCGGTGAAAAGTATGCACTTTTGCCAACGCGTCTCCGACAGATAAATAAAATGCAATTAGTCTCTAGACCGAGCAATTGGCGACCGGTAAGAAATCCGATATCTCGAGTGACCGAACAGAGATTCGGTTCGAGAAAAGCTGGAGACCAGCATCAGCAGCAGCAGCAGCAGCAGCAGCAGGAGCGACCGAGTGTCATAAATTTCCGTTCTCCTGGTCCCGACAAAAAGGTCCGAGAAACAGATTTTATGGTATCGCCTGGTTTCGCAACGAGCCTGAATTCCGGCCGATAGATTGGCCATTGTTACACATGTCTTGGGCTGGCACGCAGCTTTGACATCAAAAATCGTTCGAGGGACACCGGTCGGTGGATGGAGCGAGATCGCCGGAGAAAAATCGCGAGGGGAGGGAAAGAGAAAAAGAGAGACTCGCTCTCTAGCTGTGTTGTGAAAGTTATCCAGGAGTGGAAGGCAAGGGGGGGCCCTGGATCGCTTCTGGTACCTCTGGTAGATCGTGGCTAAGCCAGTCGCTCGTTCGCCGCTCACCTAAACGGCTTTCACCTGGCCGATTACGAGAAGATTCTTGGCCCCGTCGATCGAGAACGATTTTTGCTGTTCACGTCCGCCGTCCACCGTGCGTATGCACACGAAAATCCCGGGTTTACGTGGCCGGTGATCGGTGATCGACCCGAACATCGGCATCGTGTCCGGATGGTGACTCGTGTCGCCTCGAAGGAAATCGTGTCGCCTTGAAGGAAACCGTGTTTCCATGCGAGGAGCACCAGGTGACCAAGGATTCGCGAGCGGAACCAGCTTCCCGAAAACGCTGCTCATCGGTGCAGGAAGTGTGTCTTTGACTTCTGTGACGTGTGTCTCGACGTCTCGTCGGTAGCTAGTGGAGGATCCGCTTCCGTCCAGCAGGTATGCGCCTTTGCTATTTCCGTGGACCGCGCGCGGGACTAAACTGTTAACCTCGGTCATCGGTTTTTCCATCGATCGTTCTCCTTCCCTTTTCTCTTTCCGTTTCGAGTTCTTTCGATCCCGATGCGCGATCGATAGGACACCGACCGGATTGCGATCGTTTCGAAGTATGCGGCCGATTCTTTGAAGTGAACGTTGGTTACTCCAGCGCGAGTTGACTTTCTATTGTAGATCGAAGTCACGGGGTTTCGTAATTCCTTGGTCGATCCGATTGGTTCTGATGCTATCCCGCGCGATGACAACTGTTTTACTCGGAAAGGAAAGTTTATCGAAGCGTGTCCATGTCGCATATTATAGATGAAAATACAGCGATGCGTGTTCTGAACGAAATTGTCCTTTAGACGCGACGACTTCGACACGAACTCGGATTAAACGAGAAACTGCAGTTATCAAATTATTGATGTTAGGAAGTCGATTAAAATCCTGTTAACCCCATTTCATCCTGATCGTTCGGCACTGTCGTAAACCAGACATTAATGATAATTGATAGACCAACAAGTCGCTCCACGTAATATACTCTAATAATTTCTTTTCGATACACTTCTTACAATCTCTACGAATCGTCTCAGAAAAATAGTCAAACTCGAACTGCTCGACTTCCACGTGGAGCATACCCTTTCGACCAGTTTCTAAGACAACGTTCCCGTTCGCATCGGCACACAAATACTTTCGTTGATAACGGTGATTGAAGCGAGCGTGCGATCGAATTGATATAAGACGCGTCGCCCTAACATTCACGAGCGATCTATCAGACGAAGTATCGAAAGTAGAGCAGCATTGTTACGCTGACAGTAGAGGATTCTGAACGCGTTTGGAATCATTCGCCGATAACGGGCCGAAAATGTGGAGCGCAACGCGAGGGAAATACGGAGCGCGGCGTCGTCGTTTCATTAAACTTTTTCTCGGCCAATTAGACAATCGTCTAATTAAGACAACGCCGGGACACGATAGTAAACAGGCCTGTCGGCGCGGAAAAGTTACGAAAGCCGGAGAAAATCGTGGCCCGGTGTACCTGCGGCGCGGTCGAAGTTATTAAAAAACAGGACGGGTCTGCTAATTTGTTCCATGACTGCGAACAGAAGAAAAAGAGGAAAAAGAACCCGCGTATCCCCGCCGGCGGCGTTCTCTCCTTTCGCTAGCCTAACAGTGGGAATGCGTGATTTCTATGTCAAGACACAGCGGCTCGCGTCTCGCGGCGCTTTCATTGATCATTTTGCAAGACAAACGCGCGAACCTGTAACGGTATTGAAAAACCGACGCGGCGGAGGCGTGAGGTGGAAATTAGATATTTATAGGAGACGTCATCGTCGTTACTCAACCGACTTCTTTCTTCTTACTCTCGCCGACGTTCATCCCTTTCCTTTACCTCGTCGAGCCAGGAATGTTGATATAATTCGCGAAGTCGGCGCGTATCTTGTAGCCCGTATGCTTGATCACATATTGCGCAATTGGATTGCATAAAAATAATTTACTGCGGTACTTCGACTGCTCCTATCGCAATTTCATTCGTTACTATTTGATAGATCGTGTTTCCGGATTTTTATGTTTTTAGTCATTGAATTGTCTGTCTACGCTCGACGCGGCAAGTATGTTGATAGCTTTTCAAACGGAATAACTTCATTGAAATTGGTTCAAATGGGTTGAATTTCTTTTGGACGACAGAGGGACTTGTTTTCTAGACAATGACTGAAATGCTTTTTTTTTATTTTGCTATTTTTTTGGAATGACACAAAAAAATAAAAACTCATGCTCTTTAACTTCTTTGTCTGGGCCTATGACGAATATTTAAAAAATGCGTTTTGTTAATCTCGGCAAGTTACAAGCGTTGAAAGATTTGAAAAACTGCAGATTTCTGAGTTGTTGATTAAAATGGTCAAAAATCGTGACAAAACTGCGATTCTCACGATTTTTAATCGTTCACAGCTTATTTAAAGATCAACCAATTTCTATACAATTCTCAACATGCATATAAGTAACCAGGATCTACGAAACGCATTTTTTAAATTTTCGTTATAGGCTAAAATAAAAAGATTAAAGAACGAGAGTTTTTTATTTTTTGTTTGCTATTCCAAATAGTAGCAAAATAAAAATGAGTAGTCTACTCATTGTCTAAGGAACTAGACCTTCTGTCACCCAAAAAAAATTCAAGTCCTTTAGACCAATTTTGAAAAAGTTATTCCGTTTGTAAAGCTCTCAACATATTTCTCGCGGCGAATTTTTGATTGAACACGTTTCGTTATTTCTTCCAGTCTATAGATACCAACTGCTGTAAATTCTCCCTAATTGGCGCATATATTGCGCACAAAAATAGACAATTTGGGAAGAGGAGATACGATTTTTGAAGCCTTGCGGCTCGTTTTTATAGTTGCTGACGATCGATAACTATAAAAACTGGCTGCGAGGCTCGAATAATCGCATCTCCTCTTACCAAATTGTTGATTTTTGTATATAATCTGAGTGTCAATTAGGGAGAATTTACTGTATTTATTACAATTACTACAGTATATAGATTGTATTCATTTATAACGAATGAACATTTATAAATAAATTGCGGATCATTATATAAAATAAAAACTTCACGCAACGATCCAAAGAAACTGAAATTAAATAACAATAAGCTGTTTTATTTAATAATTTCGTTAAGTTAGAAATGATGAAACAATATTATTAAATTCTTCTCATATCTTCACAATTTTCCATTTCAGCTACTCATTTTTGCCATAAATGAAAATAAAATCTGTATAAGTGACTTTTTCTTTAAAATAAATAAAGAAGTTTGTACCTTGTTCGATTTTTATAAAATAACATACGAAAGTGTGTCAGTTTTGATTTGTTCCTAAAGTAACGTAATCATTGTCTAGTGGGATGAATGTTTGCAATAACAAATTGTTCTTTTAATTCAATCATGGAAAGGGAAATATGGATGAGTAACGGAATGAGTTTCTTGGTGATTTCATCTACGAAAGCAACTAAACAATTGTAACGTTTATCATCCGATAAACTGACATTCGCGTGACATTTGTTACTGTTCTTATCCGTTATCTTTGAATGAAGTGATGAGTGTATGTAACCGTGAATAAAACGTTTATAATTTCTACTTAAAAAGTCTCGTAAAAATAAAGATGTTGGATGCGATCTTATAGGTGGATCGTATTTTCCCAAGAATTTTGTATCCTCATGAAAATCGTGCTTTGCACGGAGTACCTTGAAGGACGCTGAAAAAAAGTACTGACCTGCATTCTTAGAGATAATTGATAGTATTTTATCAGTATTGCAACGAATCATGATCGTGCGAGATATCTGATAGCATTACTTATAGTTTCTTTTATTAAAACATTGTCAGTCGATCAGGTTAATCACAAGTGTATACAGACAGTAATTCATTGTTCGTTCAGTTTCCGTGAAAAAGGTGACGCGTATTCCGCGCAGTTAATTACGGTGATTGAAATGTGAAATTCGCTTATTTTCGAGAAACGGAGGTTTTTTGGATTTCAAGGGAATCTTCATATTCGGGAACGTTATGACGGGAGTAGCGTTCAGGTAATCAAATTCACAGATATATCTATATTTATATACGTGATCGAACTATTCGAATGAAATGTGATATATTCGAGCCTATCGATTTCAACAGGTTGTAAGAGACATACTTGCGATACGTGCAACGCAATTTCTAACATAGCTTCATTCTAACACAAACTGAAGGTACATCGATATCAAATTTCACTGTCCGTTTTGATCTTCTAGTTATTTATTTATAAATCTTCGACATTTCTTAACACAGAATTTTTCAGCTTAACTAGTTTCATTGTACGTTTTAGGTAGATGTTACTATTAGATATTGATTAAATTGCATGAAACTCATAGCATACTTTCAAACACTTGTAATTATGTCTGCTTGACATTGCATTGCACTTAACAAATTATTTATATAACACAATCTCGAGTACTTAGCGACTATGAATCATTATATAGGTACTGAATCATCAATAAATTGTCACTAAAAATATTATAATTATATTATGGTTTTCTGACCATATTTACAAAATATTTACAAAATAACGTAATTCTTACGAAAAATAGCGCATATTTAACTTAATTTTAAAATTTCATTCAAGCTTATATTTGTATCATGTTGCATGTACATTGCGTTTATAAATGTTTCACTGCAGAAACTGCACAAAGAAAACGTAACTGTGTTTCTGCGTGCCGCACTATCGAAATAATATCAGAAACCTTTTACAATGAGTACATAGAACTGGTATGAATAATGCAGAATATATATTACGGTGCTATATTACATTATAACATTATAACACCCGCCTCGAACGAGCGTAGCTCTTTGAAAATTGCACGTCATTCTCGTGGTTTACTTTCGCCCTTCCATTATGTTTTTTTTTTTAGCATCTTTGAGATAAAGCCACGCTTCCGCGTGACATGTTAAGGGTTTACAATATATCTAAGAAAAATTCATTTTACATCTAAATTATATTTATTCGGTAATTATTATTACCGTTGCAAATATAATAACAATATACACTAAAATAACTCAGTAACATTATAGCATTAAACTAACTAGATTGCGGGATCACTATACAAAATAAAAATTTGCTGCAACACACAATCGGGACACAGAAACCAGATCGTAATAATTGCGCAGAAGTAGAAACTTTATCGACGCCTTTAATTGTAATCTTTCTGCTGTATTAGATTTCTTTATTTAAACAGTATCAATATTGTAAAAATTTCCCGTTACCGTTTCTAATTTTCTTCGAGTACTCTCGTATCTTGGAATTGATGCAAGATAAACTATTTATAAGCTATATAATTACTGGATTGCGGATTTGATGATTTTATGACAAAAACGAGTAGATCTAAATACAAAATAAACTGTCCAATAATTTAAGAAATTGTGTTATTTTCGATTCATCGCAATCGTTAAA